ATTTAAATTACAAATCCTCATCATCAACCTTGTCTTCAACACTTTCAAAACCAAACCACATTTTGGTTTTACAAAACTCCATGAAAAAGTACCAAGCAATAGCAAAAACAGTGAGCAATGCACTGACTATATACACAGTCCTATGAGCAACAACCATAACATAAACCAGAAAACAAGAAGGAACAAAACACATAACCAATAGTCCTGGCATTGACAATGGCACTTGATATGGTCTCTTAACATTAGGCATTTTCCTTCTCAACCACAAAAACGACGCGAATTCGAGCAACATCCCAAGACTATACAAGAAATTCACAGATGATACAATGTCTGCAAATGTCAAGTATGACACAACCAATGCTACTAATGTTGGTACACAAATTCCAATCCAAGGTGTGTTAAACCATTCTGATCTTACACCGAAAACTCGAGGCAACAACCCCATCTCAGCCATTCCAAGAATTTGGTAAGCACAACTACTCAATTGAGCCTCATATAAACCAATCACTGACAATACAATTCCAAGTTCCATCCAATATTTCAACCAATTTCCAGCAATCATAGCAGCCAAATTAGCAAAATAACCATCACTCCATTTAGCTTGATCCAATGGCACAGCACCAGTAGTGCCCAAAAGGGGTAACACATAACTAAAACATGTAACAATTCCAGCTGAAAAAAGTGCCTTAGGAAATGTTTTTTGAGGTTGTTCAACTTCACCAGCTAAAGTACTAGCATTATCCCAAAAATTCAAGTTCCAAAAAAGGGTATTAAAGAACAAATTCCAATCTTTTTTAACACCCTCTTGACCTAAACTTAACCATCTATTAGGATCAATCTTGGGAATTGAAAATAAGGTAATTAACCAAAAGGGACAAAGGGAAAGTAAACCTAACACAACAGCAGTGTAACCAACTATAGACAAACCTAAATAATTCAAGAATGACAAGAACATAGTGATCAAGAAAATAGCAATATACCTAGGAAAACCAGAAGAAAGAATAGGAAAAACCAACTTAATATAATCTAAGCAAAGAACAGGATAAGAAGCTAAGTTACAAACAGCACTAAGTAATTTCCAAGAACCCATTAAAGAACCCCAAAATGGGCCAAAAGCTTTATCAGCCCAAATAACAAATCCACCATTACCTGGAAAAGTAGTGGCAAGTTCAGCTGTAACAAGAGCTTCAGGTACACTCCAAATAAATGGGAAGATTAAAAATCCAAGAATTGCTAATAAAGGACCAGCTGCACCAATTGCTGCTTCTGCACCATAAGGACCACCAGAAACCTCAAAAAAGATTATGAATATTAATGGGATTAAAGCTAATTTCTTGGATTTTTTTGTGGGGGTAGGGTTTTTGGGGGTGTTGGGTTGTTCTTCATCTTCAAGAAGGGGTTGAGATGAAGAAGAGATTTGAGGAGCTGTCATTTGGAGTTGTTGCAATGGAAGAGAGAGATTTTTTTGCCTTTTTCTCCTTCCAAAGATGGGAAATTTGAGGTTGTATAATGAAGATTTGGTGGAACAGAAGATTCTTATATCTAGATTTAGATGCAACTTGAGTATTTCATTATTGTGGGGTGGGTCTAATTTTGACATTTTCATTGTTATATGGATTGTGATCCTAAAACTTCTCATGTTAGGTGCTTGTTCTCTTTTTGGTCAAATGGTAAGAAAATATTTACAATATTTAAATGTGAGTCATATCAAATTGGCATCTTTACACAAATAGCCGGCGATATTCATCGTTTACTTTTTCTATCCATATACATAGATTATATATTAATTATACATAATTATACATAGCCTCGCTTCCTATTCATTTGTGGGTCTGGACCCGAGGGCCTTTTTTTTCAAGAGGTGATTTCGAGAATCAACCAACGGAAAAATCCGTAGCCCAGGTGACTCACAGCCTCCCTCTTGCCCAAATAAATGAAATGGGATGAATCAAATCAATAAGCTTTTTGATTGATTCAGGGCGCAGCGAAGCCAAATTCAATCAAGGCTCGATTAGTTCACAAGATTGAATGGCCAATTCTCCTCCGAACCCTCGATTCGATTGTTTTCCAAGAATGTTGAGCCGGGTATGTAAGCCATGTATCTGGGAGGAACTTAAATAAATTGAATAGAGGAACTCCCGAGCATTTGGCGATCTCAGATGTGTCGATATCAATGGTGACTCATTATTTCGATGAATCATTTCTTCGGACAGAAGAAGATTATGTAAACACTTACTCGAGATCTCACTTATCAGATTCCATTGTGGAAGACACAATTTTTTCTGAAGAATTCGCCATGATATACCTGATCCATGCATAATATCATGAAAAATGGATACAAATTTTTGACTGCTACTTAGTATTGGCAATAGGTCTGAAAAAGTATCTAAAAATATCAAATTTAGATATTTGTACCCTGTCGAAGTAAGGAACCATGGCATATATGTTTGGAATAGATTCCATTTTGAGAGAGTTGAAAAAGCACTATCTCGTTGAAAGGTTCTATACATCTGCCCTTTCTCAACGCATTTCTTTAGACAAAGACTCCGTTTTTTCCTCTTTTCGGATGATAAATCTTTCTCAGAACATGGAGTGTGAATCAAACCCATGTTTGAATTGAAATTGAGATACTGATGCAAGTTCTTCCCTTCTGAATCAGATAGATTCATATCTGAAAGAGGTTGACAATAAGTTCTTTCAAAATTGACTATTTGCCCCTCTGTTAGAGGTGTTCCAGAAATGTCTGCGATCGAGTAAATAGCTCTACGAATATAATACATAAATTATACATATAATATACCTCAAGCGGCTATTTTTGTTTTAAGTGGTTGGATGGGCGGTTATATGGGTTAATTCTTCTATCAAATCAAGAGGGTAATATTTTGGTCCACCCCTCTGCTTGAAAGTAAATTTGAGATTTACATAGGTGAATGTAGGGATAATTGGTGTCTTACTCGAGATGAAATACATCTTGTTTACTAAAGTTTATGCAAATAAAAAAAATTACCTAATGTCTTTTGTTTCTGCTAAGATTTGAATTATAGTTGATTATATTCTATTTACCTACTTTATCAATCACTAGATTATAACCGTAGAAAAAAGTACTTAATAGTTATAATTAACCCGACATCATATAAATTTTAGATATAAAAGAAAAAGTAGTCTAGTACACTAAGTTGCGGTTACGTGCGGGATCCGAGGAAAGGCCGGACCACAAGGGTCTATTGTATGCAGCTTTATCCTACATTTTTGCGAGGGTCTAAAGCTCACCAAAATAGCTTCTTTCTTCTTCTTTCACCTTTCAATTATTCATGGAACCACCTCATTCTCCTCCCCTCCCTGCCCTCAACTCAAAAAGAAAATTAATAAGGGAAAAATTGAAAAATATTAAGAAATGAGAGCAAAATAGAACAATATAGTAATAAAGACAAGATGTATAGGAGGAGCATGTAGAAGCTATCTTATTCAAGTGTGTTTCTTGTGTACTTCATAGGATAACGAATACCCTATTTATAGGATATAAGATACATGAAAGGTTACAAGAATACACCTAAAGGTTACAAACATTAAGTGATGAATTAACTAAGTACATGAACTCAAATAGTTCGTGGAATAGGGATGTCTAGGAGTATTCAATGGACATCCACTCTAACGTATTCATAACACTCCCCCTTGGATGTTCATCTAAAAGATAATGTGCCTCGTTAAAACCCTACTAGAAAAAAAAATCCAGTGAGAAAAAGTTCAGTAAAGGAACAAGAGTAGACACATCTTGTAATACGCATTAAGTGCTGCCTCATTAAAAACCTTACAAGGAAAACCCACTTGGGACAAAACCTTGGTTAAGGAAAAAAGAGTACAACGCGTACTATACTCCCCCTGATGAAAACTTTATTTGATATTTCGGAGACGATGTATTCCAATCTTATGTCTCAGCTTCTCAAATGTTGATGTTGGTAATGCCTTAGTGAATAAATCTGCCAGATTATCACTTGGACAGATTTGTTGAACATCTATCTCACTATTTTGTTGAAGATCATGCGTGAAAAAGAACTTTGGTGAGATGTGCTTTGTTTTGTCTCCTTTGATATATCCTCATTTTAGTTGAGCTATGCAAGCAACATTATCTTCATACAATATCTTTTGAATTTTCGTTTTTAAAGAAAGACCACACAATTGTTGAATGTGTTGAGTCACTAATTTCAACCATACACATTCTCGACTAGCTCCATGAATAGCTATTATCTCTACATGATTTGAAGATGTAGCAGCTAAAGTTTGTTTTGTTGAACGCCATGAAATAGATGTACCTCCACAAGTAAATAGATATCCTGTTTGAGATTGGGCTTTATGTGGGTCAGACAAATAACCTTCATCCGCATAACCAATCATTTGTGAATCAGATTCATAAGAATAAAATAATCCCATATCAATAGTCCCCCAGAGGTATCTAAAAATATGCTTAACACCATTCAAGTGTCTTGTCGTTGGAAAGGAACTAAATCTTGCTGATAAACTTATTGCAAAAGTTATATCTGATCGAGTATTATTTGCAAGATATATTAGTGCCCCAATTGCACTAAGATATGGAGTTTCATCACCAAGAAGCTCTCCATCATTTTCATGAGGTCAGAATGGATCTTTATTTATATCAAGTTATCTCACAACCATCGGGGTACTCAATGGGTGTGCTTTATCCATATAAAAATGCTTGAGGACCTTTTCGGTATAAGTTGATTGATGGACAAATATTCCATCTTTCGTATGCTTAATTGTAGACCAACACAAAATTTTGTCTTTCCAAGATCTTTCATTTCAAACTTTTTCTTCAAACAGTCTACTGCTTTTGGAAGTTCCCCACGAGTTCAAATGATGTTTAGATCATCAACATACACAATGATTATAGTAAATTCAGATCCAGACCTTTTTATAAATACACAAGGACAAATTGGAACATTCTTATACTCTTCTTTCAGCAAATACTAAGTCAGACGATTATATCATATTCGGCCTGATTGTTTCAATCCGTATAAGAATTTTTGAAGCTTTATTGAATAAGTTTCGCGAAATTTTTTATTAGTTTCAGGAACTTTAAGCCCTTCAGGAATTTTCATATAAATTTCATTGTCTAATGTACCGTACAAGGCTGTGACAACATCCATCAGACGCATATCAAGTTTTTCATGGACTGCCAAATTTATAAGAAACCTAAAAGTGATTGCATCCACCATAGGAGAATATGTCTCCATATAATCAATGACAGGTCTTTGCAAAAATCCTTGTGCCATAGGTCGTGCTTTATATCTAACGACTTCATTTTTATTATTTCGTTTTCGCACAAAAACCCATTTATATCCCACTGGCTTTATTCCTTCAGGTGTTCAGACTATACGTCCGAATACTTCACATTTTTCAAGTGACGCTAATTCTGCCTGGATGGCGTCTTTTCATTTTGGCCAATCATTTCTCTGTCTACATTCATCGACAGATCTTGGTTCAAGATCCTCATCTTGTTGCATTATTTCAACGACAACGTTATAAGAAAAAATATTGTCGACAATAATATTAGTTCGGTTCCATCTTTTTCTCGTAGAGACATAATTTATTGAGATCTCTTCATTCTTATTATTTTCAGGTACCTGGACCTCCTCTGAGGTCTTATCATTTGTTATGACACGGGTCTCTTTTTGAGAAATTGCCTCCACATTATGATCTCCTAGATCATTTGCTCCTTTTCGCATTCGAGGATTTTTATCTTTGGAACCAATTGGTCTACCAAGTTTCAAGCGTGGATTAGACTCATTTGCATTTATAGATTGTCCAACCGGGACATCAATTCGAATAGAAGCATTAGCAGCTGGAATATGTGACTTAGTCACCCTTGGTAGGTTAGTGAATGCATCTGGAAGTTGGTTTGCAATATTTTGCAAATAAATTATCTTTTGAACCTCGTGTTCACATTGATTTGTTCGAGGATCTAAATGAGATAGTGATAATGCATTCCAATCTATCTTCTTTTGCAATTGCTTATTTTCTCCCCCTAATATTGGGTATACTGATTCATCAAAATGAAAATCAGCAAATCTTGCCGTAAATAAATCTCCAGTCATAGGTTCCAAATATTTTATAATAGAAGGAGATTCATACCCAACATATATCTCCAATCTTCTTTGGGGTCCCATCTTTGTGCGTTGTGGTGGAGCAATTGGAACATATACTACACATCCAAATAGATGGGAAATATTTGGCTCTTGACCAAAAGCCAATTGTATTGGGGAGACTTTATGATAACTTGTAGGTCTGATCCGCACAAGAGCTGCTCCATGCAAAATAGCATGGCCCCATGCTGAAATGGGAAGTTTTGTTCTCATAAGCATTGGTCTAGCAATTAATTAGAGGTGTTTGATCAATGATTCTGCTAGACCATTTTGAGTATGGACATGAGCAATTGGATTCTCAATTATTATCCTAGTTGATATGCAATAATCATTAAAGGCCTGGGACGTAAATTCACCAGCATTATCAAGACGAAGTGTCTTAATTGCATAATCTGGAATCTGTGCCCCCTTAATCTTATTAATTGAGCTAGTAACCTCGCAAAGTCCAAATTGCGGGTTGATAACAAGCATACATGTGACCATCTTGTAGATGCATCTATCAAAACCATATAATATCTGAATGGTCCACATGGAGGGTGTATGGGACCACATATTTTACCCTGTATACGTTTAAAAAATGCAGGAGATTCAACTCCAACTTTAATTACTGATGGTCTAGTGATCAGTTTGCCTTGAGAACATGCAGCACAAGAGAATTCTTTAGTTTGAAGAATCTTTTGGTTCTTCAATGAATGACCATGTGAGTTCTCAATTATTTTACGCATCATATTATAACCGGGATGGCCAACCGGTCATGCCAAATAATAAAATCATTAGTAAACTCCTCCTTGTTTACTATGGCATGTGATTCGACTACAGTAATATTGGTGTAGTATAATCCGGAGGAAAATGCGGGAAGCTTTTCAAGCACATACTTCTTTTCCGCTTTTATTGTAGTAATATAAAGGTATTCAACCTTTCCTTCATTGGTGGTCTCAATATGATAGCCATTTTGGCGAATATCTTTGAAACTCAACAAGTTTCTTTTAGACCTACTATAATATAATACATCATTAACAGCCAATATAGTTCCTCCTGGTAGTAATACAGTCGCTCTTCCAGAGCTCTCAATTAATTTTGTACTACCAGATATTGTTATGATATTGGCTTTTTTATAATTAAATAAGAGAAATATCTCTTATCTTTTAATATGGTGTGCGTCGTAGCACTATCCAGAAGATATATTTCTTCTTTATTATTCATACGGCCAAATGAAGACTGAGAAGTTTCATATTCTTCAAGAAGAAAAAAAATACATCATAAGTAATATTTAAAAATTTAAGAAGAAAAGAAACTACATTTAGGAAATTAAATACTGACAACATAAAAAGTTTTATTCAAAATATGAACTTCATAAAAAGAAATACATTTATTTTTTTAATTTTCCCAATAATAAGTCTTCAGCTATGATGCTCAAAGAAGTCTCCAACTTCTAAATGAGTAATATCTCTAAGGCCTTCAAAAATATCATCTTTATAGGCAAGGTTTGCATCAACTTTATCATGATTATTCATAGGGCCGCCTCAACATCATTTTGAAAGGTCAAGTGAGTCTTAACTTTATTTTTGTTTCCCTTTTATGGAGGTTTGATAAAGTTTGACAAAATATTCTGGCGTACGTCAAATTCGTGCCCAATGATTTTTCATACCATATCGGTGGACATTATTACCTTTGTCTTTTGAAGGATTATTCTGAGAACCCTTATTGTTCTCTTGTTTATCACGACCACTAGCATGGTGATTATTATTTCGTTTCTTGCCATGCCCACATATATTTATACGACAATGATAAATATTTTGTCTTCTTTCAGACTTTTGATTTATCGCTATCACATTCGCTTCTGGGAATGGAGCTGATCCAATAATGGGGCGGACTTCATGATTTTTTATTAAAAGGTATCATTTTCACACTGCCATTATTATATCATCAATATGGGCCAATGAGACCTGAACCCAATGTCTTACACATATGAGACGTGTTAGGCCATAATATGATGGGACTTTAACCCAATATCTTATCATCATGGTGCACCAGGACTTGAACCTGGTGTCTTACCCTCATAGTGCAGTGGGACTTGAATCCACTGTCTTATGCTCATATAATATTTATCACAAATTATCTCATTCTCTTTAGAGAATGGAACATAATTTTAGATCGCAACAAATTCAAGTATTGATAAATTTAATACAGTGAAAACTATCAAAAAAAATATTCCAAATTAATTTATACGATAAAGAGTTTCTTTTTTTTAATTGTAACAAGTAGCATGCCTTAAATATCTTGGATATAAATTTACACATGTCATGAAGGCATGTAAGCAATCAAAATAATTTTTACATGTTCTAGTTAAACTCAGCTCTTAGTATTGCTAAATATTAAAGCTTTGTTTAAAGGATTTCATATTCTTAATCTGAAAAAATATTGATTACATTACTATTACTAGGATATGAATAGTTAGTAATAGAACTACTAGAATAGATCAAATCAAGATGACATCATCATTATCCTTTTAGAATATGTAAGCACACATATCAGAGTTGCTTAAACCAAATGTTACTCCTAAGATAAACAAGAAGCATCGAATAAATATTAAGCCCCCATATTCTATGTGATTATTTATCATATTTATATGGCACTTGTACTAAAATATTATATCACAAGATTCTATCAGTTTCAGGCAAGGCAAGTATTGCAATGATATCTAAAGCAAGTCATGCATGTTCTGACATATTATAAAATTTAAATTGTAGCCCAAAAATTTAAGAAGATGATACCGATTGAAGTAAATAATCCCAGTTGGTTGAGACTCGTGGTGATAACGTATTAAGAAATGAGAGCAAAATAGAACAATATAGTAATAAAGACAAGATGTATAGAAGGAGAATGTAGAAGCTATCTTATTCAAGTGTGTTTCTTGTGTGTACTTCATAGGATAAAGAATACCCTATTTATAGGAAATAAGATGCATGAAAGGTTACAAGAATACACATAAAGGTTACAAATATTAAGTAATGAATTAACTAAGTACATGAACTCAAATGGTTCATGGAATAGGGATGTCTAGGAGTATTTAATGGACATCCACTCTAACATATTCATAACAAAAAACCAACTATAAATGAAAAAACCTTATAAAAAAAAATTATAGTACTCTAATTCCTAAATGCCAAAAGAAAAAACAGAAAGAAGGTGCAGGGATGAAGATGTAATTTTACATGAACACATCATTACTTCTCTACCTTAGGTTAGTGGACCAAAGTAAACGCAGAACAAAGCTAAACTAACTTCCAACAGTTGAACACTGTCAGATAAAAACATCATGTTATTGCAAAGTTGGGGCTGTCCATCTGCTTCTTTAAAATTCTGCAGAAGACATAACACTTCAATTTACAACAATCCAACAACTAAAATCCTCATATATTCTTGTCCTAGAAAACATGGTAGATGTTTTTCTTCATCTTCTTTGAACTATAAATCTTTACCTAAGTTGGTGTGTCTTCATGGGATAGGAATAGAAGAAATTTCTGATGTTATTCATAACAAGGTTAGTCACTCCACTTCATATCTTTGTTTGATATGTACAAAAAAAAATCATCTTTTTTACCCCCTTATTCTTGATTTTTGCTTTTTGTTGGTTCTTTTGTGTAAAGTTTGAATCTTTATGTATCAATTAGGCTAAACTTTTGTTGGATTTTCATAGTGTATGATGAGATATGGAGGGTCAGTTTCAAAAGAGGATTAAATTTTGATATAATAGTTTTACATAAGCTAAATTTAGATGTAAAAATGTGTGTAAATTTGTCAATTAGGTCCCAAATTGGTTGGATTTGCATTATGTATGATGAAAATTTCTCATCTTATTTTCCTTTTGTTGGTTCTTTTGTGTAAAGAAACAGCTTTTCTACTCCCTCGGGTAGAGGTAAGGTCTGCGTACACACTACCCTCCCAAGACCCCACTTGTGGGATTTTACCGGGTCGTCGTTGTTGTTGTTGGTTCGTTTGTGTAAAGTTTGAATCTTTATGTATCAATTAGGCTAACGTTTTGTTGGATTTTCATAGTGTATGATGAGATATGGAGGGTCAGTTTCAAAAGAGGATTAAATTTTGATATAATATTTTTCCATACGCTAAATTTAGATGTAAAAATGTGTGTAAATTTGTCAATTAGGTCCCAAATTGGTTGGATTTACACTATGTATGATGAAAATTTCTCATCTTATTTTCCTTTTGTTGGTTCTTTTGTGTAAAGAAACAACTTTTCTACTCCCTCGGGTAGAGGTAAGGTGTGCGTACACACTACCCTCCCAAGACCCTATTTGTGGGATTTTACCGGGTCGTTATTGTTGTTGTTGGTTCGTTTGTGTAAAGTTGGAATCTTTATGTATCAATTAGGCTGCATTTTAGTTGGATTGTTATTGTGTATGGTGAGAGTTGGAGGGTAAGTTTCAAAAATAAGATTAAATTTTAGATATAATCTTTTTCTAATTACTTAGTACTATGTGTATACATTTGTCAATTAGTTCCGAAATTGGTCTGATTTAAACTATATGGGGTGGAAAATGTCTCAGTTCAGGTCTATGTAGGCTTAATGTTTATACTATATGGAAGGTCAATTCCAAATGTATGATAATATAAGAAGTGTTACAGGATGTTCATTTTCTTTACAATCTCAAAGAAAAGGTGGAGTATTTTAGTTGCATTGTATTTGTATTTATAGATAGTTAACATCCATCTGTTCACCATAAAGAGGGAATTTCTAACATCCATCTTTTCGTCTTTTTCGTTTTCTTGAGCCGAGGGTCTATTGTAAAACAACCTCTCTACTCCATCAGGGTAGGGGCAAGGTCTGTGTACACACTACCCTCCCCGGACCCTAACCTGTGGGATTTTACTGGGTTGTTGTTGTTGTTGTACCATTAGTATGGTGAAAGATGTGTCCTTTGGTTCTTACCTAAACCTGGAAAACGGGGGAACTGTCTTGAGAATGAACAGATTACGCTCTCATAATCTTATAGGAAATGGTTTGATTAGGCACTGTAAGGTGTGGAAGCAATGTTCTACCGGAAGAAGCATCAGTGTGGAAAGATTTGTCTCAGAAATCACATTACTGTAAGAGGGATATGCCTTTATATGTTATTAATTTGTTTTTAACCAACCCACAGGTTTTGGTTGCAGCAGCGGTATCTGCAGCGGTCGGTCAGCTGATGAAGCCTTTTACTTCAACTCTATTTTATGGCAACGAGTTCAATTTCAAGGCTGTCTTACAGGCTGGGGGTTTTCCTTCCACACACTCATCTGTAAGATTTTCATCCCTCTATGCTTGTGCAACTTTGTTTAACGTCACCTATTGTTTACACGACCTGATTCTGAAACCAAACTCCATGATAAACTAAACAACTCTTCAATCCCAAACTAGTCTACATTAAATGAATTGAAGAAAATTTTGTTATATATACAAAGACCAGCTTTTTATCTTATTCATT